GKTTTKSMAAMMAAMMWTKTTTCCACTCAAGATTTTSCCATCAACTCCATTAAACAGAGGTACATCACACTCGAGACACCTGTTAAACAAAAYAGTACAGAAATACCATCGTTTCCTGCTGGTGGTGAGAAAAATGGTGCAAACCAAAGTATTCTGTCCTTTRCTTTCTCCATTAGAAACTCAAACAAATTYCCCCCTTTATTTTTTTTTTTCCTTTTTGGAAGTTATTTTTAACACCCTTTCCCTTACATTTTAAAATTCCCAATAACTTCTTTGGGGGCAAATACACTTTYGTTGTACCAATCAGTATTGCAGGACAACCACATTACACCATCTTTTTTCATGGCTTGTGTTAAATTACAGTACAGAGAGATCAAATTATGGCCAGCCACATGCCTTTGGTAAAATGAAAAGTCTGGTGAGATCACATTTTCTTCAAAATCAGAAAGCCACACGTTGAAGCCATGTCATGTTTTGAAGTTCAATTCCATACAAACTTCTTCAAAGTGAAGTTAAACAGCCATCACCCCACGCAAATGGCAAATTCTGAGCTGCTCCAGAAAGGAGRTGAAAGGTCTGAACTTCAGAGAAGCTCTTCACATGCCTTAATCTCCATTAGATTTGTGTTTCAGACAGGGGGTAGRAAGTCTAGTAAATATTCACAAACCTACAAGTCAGAACAGTGGTAACAGTGATAAATATTCCGAGTTTTTAAAAAACTTTCTGCAGCAACACACGTGGCTCATTTAAACAACTGACGTTCTTCTCCTTTGAGGCGTTTTTTCCTGGGCTGTACAAAGTCATCATCAGAGTCATCAGTGAGTTCTGGGTTATCTTTTTCACTCTGGCTGCTTGGCTGTACAGGGAACTTCCTCTCAGGATAAAGGTTGCTTAGGAGATCTTCAAAGTAGGCTTGGAGTTTCATGCCAGCATCAGCCACTTCAGAATCAGGCTGTGGGGTGAATTAACAGCATCAGTGCATCATGAAACAGCTTTGTAATTAGATCACATTAAGTATTTTAGGTACAAAACCCACAAAAAACTACAAAAAACATCAATCAGCAGCAAGGGTGGGTACAGAACAGAGGCCATAAAGAGCACAAATCCGCAAAAGAAAGAGCGAGGGCAGATCTTCTGGACAACACCCTCAATGATTTTTTTCTCTGACAGGTGACCACAGAAGCCACTCACGAAAGCCACATTGCCTGGGCTCCTAAAGCCAGATAAAGTGATGCTAAAAACTCTTAAATCTTGACTGGGGTGGGGGCAGGGGGACAGAAGTTGTRTTATGCTCTGAAATACACAGATATGCCCTCAGAGTATTGAAAACTTCTCTAGCTTACAGATCATTTTTAGTAAAATTAAATTATTTTAGTATTACTTATTTTAGTAAAATCATTGGTGAAAATATTACTTGGGAGACAATGACTGTAACAAAGGACTGGGCAGCCCTAAAGTGATGCACAGCCATCAGAGCTATCGGTTTCCTGAAGCTGAGATCACCTTGGCAGGAATAATTCCCAGCTATCAAGGGTGACTGGAGAAGCCTTTATTCCCATTCTAATTCCCTCTCATTTTGTGGTCCCCTCAGAACCTGCACCCCTTTTTCACCACACATTCCCTCATGTGCACTTAGGGGATGACAACAATCACTCAACATGCAGTTTGAAATCAGAAGGGTGAGCACAGAGCTCCCAGAATGAAAATCCCACTGAATTTAAGATCTGAGGCAAGGAGGATTAAACAAGTTTTTAAATCATAATACCATTAGC